AGACCAGGGTTCAAATTCCCAATCAGCCATGGAAACCCACTGGGTGGCTTTGGACAAGTCACACTTGTTCAGCTACAGAGGCTGAGGCAAACCTCCTGGGAACAAATCTTTCCAAGAAAACCCCATGATGGGTTTGCACTGGGGTCGCCATAAGTCAGAAACAACTTGAAAGCAAACAACAACAGCAACAAGAACAAGAACAACATTATGAGTGGTTAATACTAGTCATGATGGCTATGTATCACCTCCAATGAGTCAGGATGGTGGTTTGGTTTGAATGTTGGACTAGGATTCTGGGAGACCAAAGGATGTTTGAATCCCCACTTGGCCATGGAAACCCACTGGGTGACTTTGAGTAAGTCTCAGCCTCCGAGGAAGGCAACAGCAAACCTCCTTGGAATAAATCTTGCCAAGAGCACCCTGTGATAAGGTCACCTAAAGTCAAAGGGCCTAAGCAGACTGCCAGAAAAAGTGCACATTAAATTGAGGCACTGCCCTGGCTCAGTGCTAGGGAATCATGGGAATTGTATTTTTTTCTGAGACACTGAACCTTCTCTGTGAGAGAGCTCTGGTGCCACAATAAATTACAGTTCCCATGATTCCCTAGCACTGAGCCAGGGCAGTGCCTCAATTTAATGTGCACTATTTCTGGCAGTCTGCTTAGGCCCAAAGTCAGCTTGATGGCACATAACAACACTATCCAGTTGTATACCAGTTGCTGGAGAACATGTTGGGAGGATGCTACTTTGCCTTTTTCCTGCTTATGGACTATTAGCAGGTCACTGTGGGAACAGTACACATATAGTCTGATCCAGCAGGGCTCTTCCTACACTCTTTGGTTAAGTGAAGACACTTCTAACCTTTACAGATAGAAGCCTTCACATTTTCCTGTCTATGGCTAATAGTAGGTTGAGGGAGAGGGATAAATCAGGATTAGGGCAGGGAGAAGTGAAAAGGGTTAGATCTTTTAAGAAAGAAAAGAAAATAACATCCAGCTACAGAACTCCTATGTTGCAGGTGTAATTAGACCTATACAAAGTACAGAAACCAAAGGGAGTTGTGGGCATAGAAGCAAACACTGCTTTGATCCCTGACTGAACCCACACCTTCATGCGCTCCTGTGTGTTGCTCTTTGGCCCATTCCACTGAATGATGACTTTGCCAAGATCCAGCAAGAACACATCACCGACATTAAAGCTCTCCCAGCTCATCTCCACCTACAGACGTGCAACAGCAGAAACAAACAGGAAAAGAGAAACAGTGGGAGGATTAGTTTTCAAAGGAGTTTAAGAATGGTATCATACCGGATTAGCACAATTTCTTATCATACTTTTCCCTATGATAAAGCTTTGGTGATCGTGTGATCTGTTTTCCACACTGACAAATGCTGCCTTCCAGGAGGAAAGGAGGGTGGGGGAAGGGGAGAATGAGCAATTGCGGCTGTAATTGCCTCCCAAAGCCGGCTGTTGTGTGAATTTGCACACAGCAGCTGGCTTCAGGCAGGTATTGGCTGCCATGATTGCTACAAATGGGAGGAGAAGTGGGGGGAGAGGAGCAGAATCACATCCACACACATGACTGCCGGAGAAACAAAACTGCAGCAGAAGGGCCCTATTGCAGGAAGGCAGTCATGGAATAGCAGTGAGATTGAGAGCCTGTTGACAAGTTTGCCTGTCAATTAAAAGATGTAAAAAAAAAAAATGGAATGCAAAGCAGAAGCAGGACAAGCACAATGTTGTGTGGTAAGTTCCAGCTTGTCCTGTTAAAATCCAGCTTCAATATCCTGTGTGATAAAGTCCTTAGTCTCTCAAAGAATAAAAAGATGGGAGGGAGGGGGAGGGTTAAAAAAAAGAATGTAACAGCACCTTTAAGACATAATGGGTTTTTTTTTTTTTTTGCATGAGCTTTCATGGCTTCTTCTTGATGCACATGGCTTCTTCAGATGTACTCTGTACTGCAGCTGAAAAAGTGGGTTTATAGCTACAAAAGCTCATGCAAAAAGAAAAACTATTTAGTCTTAAAGATGCTACATTCCTTTACCCCACTCCTCCTCACTTCCTCCTTGTTATAGTGAGAGGATTAGGAGCAACCAGCAAAAACCCAAGGGATTTTGCTGCTTGAGTAGTGAGGCACTCTGTACCTGCCCCTGTTCTATATACAGATGTGAACTGGACTGGCGGCTTTTGATTCACCACTAGGACAATGTTTTCCACCACATTTGAGGTCGCAGGACAGGTTGCATGACAGTGGCACACGTACCTTCAATAGAGGGGAGCAGTCACTTGGCTTAGGAAGACCAGCTAAGCCCCAACATCTGCTGTAGGAGCAAAGAAGTAACAGAAACCCCCCCTTGGCCACAGGATGAGGTGAGAAGATTCAGCCTCACCTTGGTTCAGCCTCACCTCTGTGGCTGTGACATTCCTCCTGCCCTTAACATGCAGCAGCCGCTTGACGTTGTAGGTGTTGGTCTCCACGTGGTTCAGTCCAGAGGCAACACCACCTTTCTTGTAGCTGTTTAGAGTGGGGAGAAGGACAAGAGCATGAATGCTGGACAAAACAGACAACTCTCTGCTACTAAGGATGAATAAGAATTAATTATGGTGACTTTCTGCTATGAAAGTCTATGACCAGCCAGAGTGATGCTCTTGTATGGACGTTATCACACGCGGGCCACAAAGCGAAAAGAAAGTGAAAAAGAATCAATCCGGAAATAAACCGAAATAAACCCTACATTAAGGAAATGGCTATCAGACGCAAGTAGCATCATTTCGCAATTAAGGAAAGCTCTCCTGGAAACTGTATTTGCCGTTCACACACAAGTGAGAAAATCCCGTACATGTACTAGAAATACTCTTCTAGCACATGCGCAATACAGCCTCGACTGTCACCCCTTCCCAAGTTGTCCTCGGTGCAGCCAGCCCTCCGCATGGCCGGCGCTCCGAGGAGGACCTCCCACCGCAGCGTTCTCTGAGGAGGTCCTCCTTGGAGCACAGGCCCCACTTAGGGTCGGCGCTCCGAGGAGGTCCCCCTTGGAGAGCCGACGCTCCGAGGAGGTCCTCCTTGGAGCGCAGGCCCCGCCCCGTGTAGGATAATGACGGGGAAATGCTCCACAATGCATATTTGGTGATCAGACTTACGGTAAATGCGAAATGATTCCTCAAGAAACTGAAATTCAAAAGATCTTGGTTCTTTCCACTTTCTGTCGGGGTTCTGTCGGGGTTCTGTGCGACGTCGTGTGGAAACACGGGAAAATAATACGTATTAGGTCGGGATTTCATTTGGATTCTGTTTGGATTGGGCCCCGTGTGATAACGTCCTATGTTTAACTAGGGCTGCAGAATTAATATAGTTTGACACTACATTAACTGCCATAGCTCAATGCTTTGGAATTCAGGGATTTTTAGTTTTGTGAGATATTTAGCCTTCTCTGACAAAGAGTTCTGGTGCCACAACAAACTACAAATCCCAGGATTCCACAGCATAGAGCCATGGCAGTTAAAGCCATTCTGCAGTGTGGCAGCAGCTTAAGGCTTTAAACATTCAACAGTTGTCACACTGACCATTTTTTTAAAAAAAAAGAAATCTGTGCATCAACCCAAAAGACACACACAAATTCATTCATCATCAAATTCATCATACAACACATTTTAAAACTCATTTATTTATTTATTTATTTATTTATTTTTAAAGCAAAAGTGCTCATAAAAACCTGACGTGACAGGAATCAATCTGGCAGAAACATTACCTCTTCTAAAGAAAGAGGTTTTCTAAGGAAAACCACCTCTTCTGATATGGCACCATTAAGAAGACATCCAAAAATCAAATGAAACTAGGCTTTTTTTTTCTCCTTTAAAACAATTAGTTTGTCCATATTTAGTCTCATGCAGGTCATAACCCTGGGATTAAGTGCCTTTGGATATATAAAGGATTTAGGGCCTGAACAGAAGACTGCCAGAAATAATGCAGCTTGAAGCCACTTTAACTGCCCTGGCTCAGTGCTAAGGAATCATGGGAACTGTAGTTTATTGTGGCACCAGAGCTCTCTGACAGAGAAGGCTCAATGTCTCAGAAAAAAATACAATTCCCATGATTCCCTAGCATTAAAGTGGTCTCAAACTGGATTATTTCTGGCAGTCTGTTCAGGCCCTTACTTCTACTTAGGCATCTGTATGATTGCCGTATATACTTGCCTATAAGTTGACCACATGTATAAGTAGAAGGCTTGTTTTGGAGCCAAAATTATGGATTTTGATATGACCCATGGATAAGTTGAGGGTAAAACCCAGGGGCATGCAACAAAGGATTTAAAGCAGGGGTAGGCAACCTTTCCCCCTTTAAGGGCCAAGGGACTTCAGTTCCCAGAAGCCTCCGCCATGTTGGCCAATAGTCCCATGTTGGCCAATAGCTCCTGGGATTCTGGGAGCTGAAGTCCCTCGGCCCTTAAAGGGGAAAGGTTGCCTACCCCTGATCTAAAGAATGAAGCAAAGGAAAGCAATGCCAAGGAATTTACAAAATTCCAGCAGGCACAATTGTTTGTGTTCGCACAAAAGGCTGGGTGGATGAGAGAGCAGAGGAGGGTCAGTGCTTCCAGGAAAGATTACACTCTTGCCTTTCACCAGGGGATATTTCCCTTTTTTT